TTATTTGTTGAAATTGAATCAAGCCCTACATGCCAGTTTATTGAAAATGATATTAAATTTGTAGGGACGGACAAGGAAGAGTTCATGATTGAAGTGTTATTTTCATAAAATCGCTACATTGACACTACATAGCTCTCCCTGTTGTAATCAGGAAGGCTCCCCCCCCCCCAGTTTGACCGACCAATCAGCAATAGTGTGTAGATTTTGAATACCATTGAATTAGGTTTTTGTGTCAAATATTGTATTGTATATCTCTTTATCTTTGAAATGAAGAATGAATTTATATTAGTTAATTTAATTTCAAAGTTAAAGCCTTTCATTAAAAGAATACATTCCACAACTTCTTACCTATTTTGGGCTTTGTGCAGGTTTTTTTTAATACAAAATTGACAAGGGTAATTAACTTTCAGAAGTTCTTTTATTAATATTAATCACTAAATAAAATGTTTAATATTTAAGGTTGTATTGGGAAAAAATTACTGTAGATACATTGCACACGGTAATGTAATAAGACATGTAAGGTAAATGCATGATGGAGGGGTGTGATGTTTATTACCCATAATGTGTGGATGCTATAATATTAATGTCCAAAGGAATATATTTATCGCACTTTAAAGTATTTTAATTGTGGATGTTACCCTCAAAAACTAGCTAAAATTTGCGTGGAAAAATCGTTATGAAAATAGATTTGCAGAATTGGTTATATATTAGCATTAGTTCAGAGCCTAATTTTTGGCAAAATCTTCTGAAATTCTTGGACAGAGATTTCTATGCCAAATTTGTGCGTGGAGGATATATTCCCCACACAGGCCTTACTTTACAGTCTGGTGCGATTATTACAAGGCAATGTACATGTTATAGGGTCCAGTGCAACTGTGTAGATACTATAATTGTCTGTCTTGTATCAAATTATTTATTTACTCGGTCATTAAACATATTTTTTACCATAAGTGCATTAATGTGAATTTTTTTTTTGCAAATTATATACCTGAAGTGATTTTTGAACTATCCCTGCAAGTATGGTCAATAAAAAGCTAAGTTCACGTAATTTAGCTATTCATTATGTACTTACTGATGAATTCACTGGGTGTTTTTTCCCCTAAATTTTCTTTTCCCCACAAGGTGCTAATGAATCTCAAGTTGATACTTGAATCTATTATTACATCAATTGTTGTTATTGCTAATTGTTTCCATTCCATATTTTCATTGAATTTAGTTTTTTTGGGGTTTGTTTTATATTCCATTTATTTGTACATTGTCTTTTGTTGTGCAATAGCATAATTGTATGGAAGTGTAAGAAGACAGAAAAGATGATTAAATCCAAAAATATAACTGCAGTTGTTCTTTTGTATGCGACTTCAAGTTGTTCTTTATTAACTTTAATCACAAAAATGTAATCAAAGCTGTAAACTTTGAACAGGGGGTGGGGGTGTCAAGGGCAGAGACTTGGGCTGCAACATCCGGATATATCTGGCAGGTTTGCTTTAAAAGCAAGCAAGCAAGCAAGACAACATTACTTCTGAGCAAAAAATAGCTTAAATGCTTACTTCATACAGAATATTATGTTAGATGCAACTAGAGCTTCCACCTGGCATTCACAATTGGAGTTACAACTTAGTATGTTTTAGTTCTGGAACAAAATTTTTATCAGAATCCAAAGATCAATATATCATTAAGTAATTGTAAATCTAAACAGTACAGTATCCGAAATCAACAATACTTAGTAATATGCCACTTGTCATTCATTCCCAGGATTGTTTCCTGTAAAATTCATAAACCTCATAATGAAAGTTATGTTTTATTCATCCTGTAGCAAAATCAAAACTTTAGTGCCAAATTGTTTCAAAACTTCAGTGTAGATTACTTAAAAACCATTAATCTTATAAAATATGTAGTACATCAGCAACACTTCATAGCTTTATAACACCGGATATCCTCTCTAGAATCAATGGGACAATTGGTTAAGTTGAAGGTGACATTTCTTTCCTTGTCAAAATACTCTGAAAATAGAAAATCAAAATACTGTATATATGTAGCAATACATTTTGTCATTTATATATCACTCCATGACTTAATGTTTCTATGTGCTTAACATTACTTCACCAGTCATTTTTAATAGTAACAATTCTCCACAAATTGCAATTCTAATAGCAATGAAGATTAATAGGTCCATGATCAGACTAACAGTAGTTTTCAACTAAAAATTGAAGAGGCCCTACACATTAAATGGAATGATCCCTCGCTGAACAAACAAGTTCAGCATTATAACGCCACCCTTTGTCTATAATAGAAGAGTCCACAAAAGTATGAATATTTATTACCTAAACTCAATACACCTGCATCACTATTAAGCAAACATACACTAATGGTAGTAAGCTGACATGGCCAACTTAATGAATAAACATTAATTTAAACATCTGTATCGCTAAGCATACGTGTACTAATGGCAGTATATGTGGCAAAGACAAGCCAAACCAGTCACTCGTCGCAAATCCTGTTTCAGAGAAAATGGCCAAAACATGCTAAAATTTCAAATTTTAAAAAATCTATTTTATTGCACTAAACTAACCTTTATATATCTACACACCATCCTATGCTGATATTTTCCCCATTTTCAATGTTAAAACAACACTTTTTAAGGATTTAAAGATGAGTAATGCCTGAAATCATAAACTTTGAAGGCTGATTTCTTATATATTGTTCTTTAAACAGCTGTGTGGTTAAACGCTTGTAACTTCATAAGTGTCTGATTTGAATGATTTTTTTACCATTTTATAGCTATTATTTTACTCTCTAACACTGTATTAATAACTCAAAATCGGTTTTTGCAACGAGTGACTGGTTTGGCTTGTCTTTGCCACATATAAGCTGATAATTTATTTGTTAAGCTTTAAAGCTGGACACTCGCTCCACATTTGCTTCCGGCAAACGACGCAAGGCCGTCTGCTGATTTTCAGTGGCAATCTGAATGGATCCTCATTCAAAAAACGATCCGTTGGGTCCGTCTTTGCGTGCGCTCTTCATCACGTTGCCGTCGCACGCAGTGAGTAACCGGCTTTAGTTTACTGATGATGACTGTGTGATACAGCTGAAACATGTCGATTAAATCTTGGTTTATTGCTTTTAAATTTGTGTTTATTATTTATATCCTGTCCATCATTTGGATACATTATTCATGATTTGAATTACAACAGTTGTTAGGATGAAGACTGGCAAATTTTTAAACATTCAGTGTTTTTCCCAAATAAATCTCCACTCCCTAAGTAATGTTTCTACATGTGCATGATTTAGCAGAGTGGATATAAATGTAAATAAATGATGACTAATAAATATAAAGCAAATTACATACATTTTGTGTGTGTTGCACACATGCATTAAATGCTTTCACTTCTTCGGAACACTTAAGAACTTGCTTAGGGTTTGCTTGATAACAATCTAAAACTGCTTGCTGTAGCTTTTCACAAATTGGCACAAACCTTTCCTTCCTATATAAATGGAAACAGTTCACATAAACCATTATCTGTATAGATTAAGTGACACAGACATTGACATAGCTTGGGGATGCGAGGTGCACTCCCCAGGTAAGTTTGTTTCCTGGCTCACGCTCCCCTCCCACTGGAAATTTGATGAGCAAAAATTTACATTCAAGTACCACAGTTATAAATCTGCTAATTTCTGTAGGTAGCACCCCTCACGTTCCCCATTCCCCCACTGTCAATACCCCTAAATACACGAGTGAACTCAGACACAAGTTATGTGCTACAGTATAATACTTCAACTATTATTAAATTGCTGCCATCCATGTAAATCCTCCCCTATTATTTTGTGGTGAAGGGGGGGGGCTGAGAAGGAAGGTTCTTAACTATAAATCCCCTATTAATATATTACCTCAATGCATTTTGTTTTTAAATGTTTTCATTAATATGGTTGTGTGGTGGTCAGTGGAGGATCCAGCACTTTGGAATAGAGGGGCCCAGGGAAGGCTTTCACAGATATCTAGACCACCTCAGCTGCAACCATTGTTGAGGCTGAGGTGATTATAGCACCTCTAAATGGTTGGAAATGGCACTCTCATACCCAAACTTCATAATAATTTTCCTTTTTCTCCATTAAAAAAAATAATTTTGAACAATTTAGGGGAACCTGGTTCGGCTAGCCTCCCCCACCCCAACCCACCCTAGAATCTGCCAATGGTGGTGATGAACCAACATGTTGGTACTGTTACTAATACTAACAGAGTAAAAGATTCTGGTTGCATTTTACTGCAGGTGAATATTGATATTTCAACCAACCACTACTTACATAAATTTTGCTTCCACGTTTTCTGCAGCCTGGTTAAACTGCTCTGATGTTATTTGAGCTAAATTGGCATTCTAGAAAAAAATTAAGCAAGTGAAATATCCAAATTCAGATTTAATTTATTCATCATCATGATAAAATTATGAAATGGTAAACAACCTGCCGAAGATAACACAAATATTGAATATTAAACAATAAAAATATATAAACAAATATAAAATATGAAGTCTAAGGTTGGATTCGGACGTAAACTCAATTACATGGGTAATCTACTAATAACCTCGGGGCTAAATGTGACGGTCGTTCGGACAAGTAAAATAACAATCCATTTACCCATTATTTTGACGGAAGTTACATATTTTACAAGCTTCTGCAAGGTCAGAATTCTGAATATACTCATTTCCTTGCGATTATCCTTACAAATTGACGCCGAATTATGATTAACCCAGCCGACCTAACTATCCTGACAACTTTTATATTGCTTCTCGACGACGGATTTGATCTAAACCAAGCTTTTCGACGAAGAAAGTACAGCAACGACGAAGACAACGACCAGCGTGGAAAGAAAGCTTGGGCAACAACGTGAAGAATCATGCAGCGTAGTCGCGAGCTTCTTTTTGTCCAGTGCACTCTGACCCGGCGTTGTTTACAAATCTGAAGGGTCAACTTGTGACCTGGGCCTTGTTACGAGTGATTAATTATGCCTTGAGGCAAGGTGTAATTGAAATATCCAGTAAAAAAGGTGGGTTTTTGGGCCAGATTTTTTTCGAATTTTCTATACCCAGGGGCATTATTTAATTGCCGCATGCAACCGCTCAGCTGGTGGTACCCAGTTAAATTTTACTCGTCCGAATCGACCCCATGTACCCTCACCTTTTCCTCTGCATTGCGTAACCTTTCTCTCCAATGTTCCTCTAATTGCCGTATT